GACAATGGACGCGCGCTTGCAGCAGGGGCCGACGACTGTGTAATCGAGTGGTGGGGCAGACGGAAGCCTACTAGACCGCTGGCTATCTGTTTGCTCAGGGCAAATTTGACTGCCCCTTTCTTGTTTTGGAAGAGGATTGAAGCCGTTTTTTTGGTGCAACGAGCGCCAACTCACTGCTCCCCACAAGCATAAAAGACAAAAATCATGGCGATGTATCTTTTCATGTTCGTGCGGAAGATTCACTCTCGTTTTACACTCTCGTAAGGTAGTGGGCCAAGGCGTTTTGTCATGGAAACAAGCCTTCGAACTTGGGTCTACATTTAAACAGTGTGTTGTTGTACCAACGACTGAGCCATTGAGGTAAGTTCCTCCCCCCCCCACCCCACCCCCCACCCCATGCAACATGACTGCTGCTTTTTCAGGTACAGCAAGCAGGGGAAAATGACCCTACACATGGTTGTGATCGTGGACAGATGCATGCAGGTGCGTCCTAGTATGAGTATGCCCTTAGGGGGGCGTGCATGAAAGGAAGTTGCAAACCAGCGGGCTGGTTCCTCCAGCTTCAACAGATGACTCAATGGAACTACATTGCTCACAACGCGAATATTAGAGGCCGCAGGATTTTAGATCATGCGGCCAGGATCGTCACACGTGGGAATGAAAAAACTAAGAGAGAGAAAGAAGGAACATGAGAGTTAGGAGGGGGAGGTCCGACCTCTCCCAACCTGACAACTACCCCCCCCCCCCCGTTTTCAGGGGACGGCAGAGAAAAACAAGGAAGGGGTGGTTGCATGCAACTGCATGAACCTGGCTGAACGAATGGTCAGGCGCGTGCAGTTAAATTTAATTTTTTTTCTTTTTTTTCTTTTGTTGATTTTCTTGTGAGGACACTTGTCCTCACGTGGTGCTACCTTTGGCAGAAGCTACCAGAGGTAACTGTCAGGCTCTCGTTTTTAGAGGGAGTCTAGAAATTGAAGGGTCATAAAGGAAAAGGCTAAAGACAACCTTTTCCTCGTATATCTGCCCTGGAAAAAAAGTCTAGGTACATCAAACTGAAAGGGGTTGTATCTTTCCAACCCCTTATCAGAAAAACAAAAGAAAAGCAAATTTGAAAATGGCAAAAGCTCAGCTCTCTCGTGAAATTCCGAGATAAAAATGAGACATTTGAGGGAACTGCCCCAAAGGTTATGGCTGTCATGAGGCCATAATTAGCCTTTGATCTTGGACAGATCAAGAGCTCACTGTGAGCCCGTTGTCGAGCGCATCGGCTCTCGCCTTTTCGCAAAGTGGAGGAACCCTCCCGGCCATGTCAGACAGGAGCAAATAAAACAAAACTCAAGAGACAACTTGGGAACGGCGCAAAACAATCTCGCGAACCGCAGAGACGGGCACGGTTGTGTCTTCCCTTTGCGACCTTAACCGGACATGGTTGTCCTGAGTGACTGCCAAGAAAAATCTAACATTGAGCAACAGAAGAAGAATTCAATGTTTCTTATGGTTCACAGGTATTACAGTGGCTGTCGCGCGTCGCAATTCATTGCTCAGTCCATGCAACTTTCGTGGTCTATTCTTGATTGTGTCCTCCGATCTGTTTTTCGTCAAATGCACTTTCTAATTGCCAATGACCTCGGGGTGCCAAAAAGTTGTGCAGACATGGACTGTTGCGCTGTCCCGTGGCGGCGACTGTTCTTCATACAGAGACTGCAAATAAATGTCGATAATGTTGTCGTCCAGCTATTCGTTGTCGATCAATCGTAAAACGTCGGATTTTGTTACGGGTATAGCGTGTCTCTTTGATTTCCACGTGAAGGGGAACAATTCGTCCTCATTATTAATGTCAGTCTGCTCTTCTCTCGTTCTCGTCATGTCCCCGACTTTCACTTCTCCCTTAATGTCGGATGACTCTTCGATTATCAACTGGGGAGATTTTACTTCACCCCTGTCATTATATCGTACATTTTCACGTACCAAGGGTCCCTCAACATTTTTTGCCACCTCTTTGATGACCTCTCATTGGTCAATGGCAACAACGGTTCGCTTGCCACCTCTCTTCGGTGCTCTTCGTCTTTATTTTTCATCCTTGGATCGGCGACCGGTTCTGTACCCACATTTGACCACTTCGCGCCGCCACGACACGTGTTACTTTTCTGTGACTCTATCATCCTCGCTCGGCTTCTCTTACATGCACCCTGTTATTCAGTGTTCTGTGTCGCTCCTTCCCGAACGCTGCGCGACGTCGTAAGTTTCTGTTCGTGTTCATACGTGTCGGTCAAAATGGAATGACACAGACGATTTGTTAAGTTTTTTAACAACTTGAAATCGTTTTTATAGGATACTTCGGAGAGAGAGAGAGAGAGAGAGAGAGAGAGAGAGAGAGAGAGAGACTACTGCGTGCCAAAGCTGATACGATGTCACTGTTGACTACGTAAATATCACGCAGCAGTGAAGTTTTTGGGACACTTTCGTCTCGCATGTGGTTTTCACTGCTTCATAAGCTTGGTCACATTTGACATGATATTTCTCAACAAATAACGGAAAGAAAGAGACGAATGTCCTCTCTTGTTCCCCTATACTTGGAAGAAACAACATGACTGTCCCGTGGTGACGACAGATAGACAGCAACAGAAAAAATCGAAGTTTATAATTTTTTTGTTAATTAACCTTATCTTGTTTATAAACAGTTTTGAAGATTGATTCTTGACTGTCATTTAACCTTATAAGGTTAATCAACATTGAAAGAGAACGGAATGATTTTGGATGGTTGCTTTAACAAGACTAACGTTACAATCTGGCGACAAGCAATGAACATTCAGATTAATGAATGTTGCTTTTAACGTTGGGGTTACGTTTTTCCGAAAGTTGTTCAAAATGTTTGTACATTGTTGTAACTGCTTTCATCCTGCGTTTCCATTTTGTTTTTTACACTGTCTATGAACATTAAAAGACTGTTAGCAAATAATGTGTTAGTATTACTCAGAATGTTTGCGAAACAATGAAATAGAGTTTGCAATATGTTATGAAATGTTTGACTATTTTGATGAACGTTTTTCCATTGTTATTGATTCAGTTCATCAGGTTGATTCATAACCTTTGCTTCACTTTTTCTTAGCGATTTTAGAACCGTTTTTATATCATAGGTCGAGTAAACAGTAATGCTAAAGTTTTAATTCATAACTTGTTGAAATGTGTTGGAGAAACATTTAATTTGTTGAAGAAAAAAAAAAAGGAACGTCTGTGAGTCGAGCACGTCGAGAAGGAGAGGGGGGAGGGAGGGGGCTTCTATATTCATAAAGACAGTATCTCTACCGATACTTAAAATAATAATGTTCTTACTAATGACACAAATGGTAGCGTATTCTGCAGTATCAAATGTAAAAGATGTTGTAGTGAGATTGCAAAAATGTGTGTAATCTCACTACAACATCTTTTCTATTTGATATTGCAGATATAATCAATCCGTTTGTGGCACTAGTAAGAACATTTATATTTTACATATCGGTAGAACGTCTAGTCTTATAAACATACAATGTGTCCCCTCCCCATCTCCTCGGCGTGACAATCTCACAGACCGGGTGAGTCTCCGACCTTTTGGGGATCGAAACGAATCGACGACCACCAATCAGACTTACCAATGACAACCATCGTCGAACCTGGCCTCCAAAACTTTATGTGTTGGGGAAAACTACCACTTTTTCTTATTTTCCTAACACTGGCGGCGGTGCTACTCGTTTAAAACTGTACATGGCACGTCACTCAGGCTTAAATAAGTATATTGTAGTCAGCATATCTATAATTCTTACACATCCAATGATAGTTCTATAAGGTATTTAATAACAAAACGAATTCATATCGGAATTATGACGTGATTGTTCATTAAAAGTATTATAATCTGAATACTCATAAGTCCAATACCATTGATGTTCAATCACTTCGATAGTAATTGCACTGTGACAAAATGACAATGGTTGTGATATGGAAGATGAAAAATAAAAACATACTAAAAAATTGAGGCGCCAAATTCGTGTCAAACAAAAAAAAAAAATTCCTAAAAAAAAGCAAGTAGTTTTTATGTGTTAGATATCAAAGCGATAATGAGATGGTAACAAAGACAATATATATGCATGTTATGCTACATACACATAATTCAACGCAAAAAAAAATAAAAATAAAAAAAATAATAATAATAAAAAAAAAATCACTGTGATGAAAATGCTTTTTCATTTCATATGTCAATAGAAAATCAATAAATTACAACATACATGTGTGTTTCTTATGTCTTTCAATGCCAGAAAAACTATGAATGCTGAGGTTTGTTGTCTCTCTCTTTCTCTCTCGCACACACGCACGCACATACACTCACACAGACATGCACACATACACATAAATTACACACACACACACACATATAAAGATACACACTCTCACATACCCATGATGGTCGTCGAAGAGGTGGTCATGCCATCTTTCTGATTATGGCTCAAGTGACACACACGTGTTACCACCTCTTCGACAAACTCTCTCTCTCTGTCTCTCTGTCTCTCTCTCTCTCTCTCTCTCTCTCAATCTCTCTCCATCTTTCTCTCTCTCTGTCCATCTTTTTTTTTTTTTTCTCTCTCTCTCTCTCTCTCTCTCTCTCTCTCTCTCTCTCTCTCTCTCTCTCTCTCGCTGCACTACTGTGCGTTTAGCCCTAGAGTCTTCACATCAGCCACTACATTTGATTTTGTTTTCTCTACTCAATTCACTTTGAACAAATGTCACAATTCTATATTTGACTTTGTACTTCTTAAGCGCAATAACTTAACACTCTACCTACTCACGACCTTTGTCCGCTCTCTTGCTTCTGGGACACTGAGCGGCAAGAGAGATATCATCCTCACGGGTACCATGTTTTTGCAAATGAATGGTGTTTTGCCCTGCCTGTGCGTCATTGCCACCACCCTTGTTATGCAAATTATCAACATCGAAATTTACAACATCGTTGGTGTCAAATATACTTAGAAACTTGTGATCATATTTCATTCTCAATAATTCATTTTTTCCTTTACTTCCCAAAAAGTATCGTCTTTTCCAAATTCTTGTCATGATCTCTACAAGGCGCTTCTCTCTGTCTAAAGGAATCACATTGGCAAAAACCTTGCCGACTCTCATCTTGTATGTCGTGATGATGACCTCTTTGATCACCTTCATCTCTTATGTAGCTTGAGCAGTTCATGCAGAACGACTCTTGTTGTTCATGTGGCAGTCAAGCGCCATGTGAGCAATAACCAGTTGTTGAAGTGTTCAACCTCTTCGCTTCAATTCCTTGTAGTCCCTGTACAATACCTCGTCAATTACGCTCTTGAACTTTTCTGCACCCCGTGCCTCCCTACCTTTCATTCTCAAAAAAGAATCTTCCATCATTTTCTTCCTCATCTCGTCCCGTTTCATCTTGAGGTGGTCTTTTAAACTGCCACATAGATACGAAAGTCTCACACCACTTAATAATCCTCGAACAATGTCATAAGCAATCTCACCTCTGATGTTTGTCAGCTCCCTCAAACCCATACCATTAATTACTGTCATTCCTTGCCATTTAACTATCCGATCAACTGTGTGTCGAACGTCTGCACGAAGGGTCCCAACGAATTCTCATAATGTATAAACCAAACGGAGATGGCGACGGGTACATTTCCACGTCCCTTGCACTTGTGAAACAAAAAGTCTTCGCCATACAGCGAAGCAACCGTTTCATCATCTTAATATCGGAATCAATGTCTTGCACATCTTCGCCTTCAAACTTCTTACTATCACTCGTTGCCTTCAAGCCATGTGTTTGTTGTTCACGTTGTACTGCACAACATATAAATACAAAATATAACCCATGTTAATACTAGTTTTCACATACTCAGTCTTTTTCAATTTCAATGTTGCAATATATATATATATATATATATATATATATATATTTATATATATATATATTTATATATATATCGTCACAAACAGAACTGCCCGATAAACATTAGGCAGAGAGAGAGAAGAGGACAACAAACGAGGGGCTGTGAGAAACTGTTTCGTCGGAGTTTCACCGACTCATCAGGAGGCTGAACCCTCAACAGTCTGCAGAATCCCCTCACTGATTACATTGTAAATGATAATCTACCTTAACCGAAATCAAAGTAGACTATCACTCACCCACACCAGATGAAAAACTCTACAGACTGTCGGTTCACACCCCATCACAAGCCAGCAAAACATCCACGAAACAAAGAAAGGTCTGTCACAACCAAAAAATACACTCCAGACACGCCGCCGGCACTAGAGGCACAACATGACCGCCTAGTAACGGCCCCGACCACTGCCGCTCGACCTGACCGGAAAAAAACGTAGCAGGAAGCTAGCGAAGTCGTAGCATATATCGTCACAAACAGAACTGCCCGGTAAACCGTAGGCAGAGAGAGAGAAGAGGACAACAAACGAGGGGCTGTGACAAATTATTTTATATATATATATTGTCACAGAACTATTGACTAAGAGCATGAGCATGTGAAGTAGAAGAAGAAATAAGATGAGCAAAGAAAAGAAAAATGAAAGGAAAGACAGGCAAAGAGACAGACAAACCAGAATGACACTTTGTTTCACAGTATTATTATTTCTTTCAGTCTTTTACAAAAATTATTTACACTGAATCAAAGGATCAAAAACAAAGACACATTGAGATCATTCAGTTTCTCAGTCTTCTTAACGCCTCCTCCACTGTGCCTCTAACGTACAAGGCTCGCCACGTTGATGAAGTTGAGCGCGAGCTG